AAAGTATTAAAAGTTGATAAATCAATTTAGCGAAAATTAAGGCTATTAAAAAGTATTAAACGGCATTTTCCAAGGTATTAAGAAGGTCCACAGCAACGACAACATGAAACACCCTTTAATTTACTGAAACAACATGTCGGGAAACCCCCTCACAGAAGGGCAACCATGACAACCATGCTCCGGAGTCTTCTTCGCTGCTTTTGGTGTATTTTGTGGCGGCAGCAGCGCCACTTACAGGCCTGGCATATGTACTACAGCGTTTCCAGCATTTCCAGCGGTCTAGTGTGAACGGACACGTTAATGAATCGAATGCGTGTGAACGGAAGACTTTTTTGCGTTTGCGTATACGTTTTACTGTATGCGTCCTCGTGGGGCCGGGGTCTAAGCCAAACTATATCCGGTCACAGAGATCTGCTATTTTAAAGTAAGGTCAACACATATAAATATAGTCTATATTAAGAACGAGAAAAGTCTTAACATATATATCGTTTTTTGTAAACATATGACAAATGTGTGAGGGTGATGACGTCAGAGCATCGTCCTATGTGCCGGGCTTAGCCCCGGACAGCCCCAGCCCAATTCAACCCCTGGGTATTTGTGAGGGAGCTCCTATATGGCATTACCCCGCTGAAGCTCACCAAAGTTTAATATATTTCATAGTTCAAAGTTTTGTCAATTGTTTTGTTTATTGGTCAAATTCTGGTTTCTAATGGTTTCTGAGGAGTTCTACTGGAATGAAAGAGCACAGAGTACAGAAGCAACAAAGCAGCATACTGCATTAAACCTGACCTTCACAGAGAGGTTGAAGTTCATGTGGAGAGGAGGCTTCAGTAGTCTGTCTACACTCTGTTTAGTTGTGCTATCTTACAATCAATATAGTAAATGTGAGGTAAAGTGTGTCGCCAATGTAACCGGTTAGAACTCGAAGTTGCGATGAGTTCTTAAAATGTATGGAAAGGGTCTTAAAAAAGGTCTTAAAAGGTATTCAATTTGACTTCAGGATTCCTGCATATACCCTGCTTTAAGCCCCTGTCACACTGTCCCGAAATTGACACCCGATGGACACACGATAAAGGAAATGTTCAAATTCGGCTGTGATCGTAGCAACATCGGGCCATTCGTGAGGGCATCTTAAGCCATCGTATGACCGCCGGTGGAGTTTCTCAGGCTCCGGCAGCAACTTCGTGAGCGGCAACTTCGTAAGGCACTCGTGAGGGCATCTTGTCAAGTCGTGTCATCTTCGTGTTATCATCGGTGCATTCACCCTCACTCTGATCGGGGCGAATGCCCGATGGCACCGATGATAACAAGATGCCCTCACGATGGCCTTACGAAGGGCAAAATTGACACACGAATTCAACACGAAAATGAACCTTCGCAAGGTCCTTTGGCAATTTTTTGGGATGCCAAAGATTTTGCCACCGCTCACGAAGTTGCTGCCGGAGCCTGAGAAACTCCACCGGCGGTCACACGAAGGCTTAAGATCAATGGCGGCGCCAGAGATTTTCTCTAGGGGGTGCTGTGGGGTAGCTTGACGTTTCATAGAGGGTGCTCAAACATTAAGGGTTTCGCATTAATGCACCAGAGCTACAGTTGAATTTTCTACTGCAACACTCCCCACACGCACACACAGTGCACCCGCGACTGTTACAATGAAGGCTCGATAATCAGCTCACGGCATATAGGTGTAATCAGGGGTAAAGTGCTATTTTTACAAGCAGAGCTTGAATGAAACACAGAGACCCAGTGTTATGGAAATAATTGTCATAGACGCCAAGATGTGACATACAGGACAAACCTTGATGTCTGTTTACCTCCTTTAAGGACACAGGCTGCTTAGCCAATAATGTTATTGTTCCCATTCTGTGACTGGTCAATACTGGGTCACAGATGGTCTGTGTTGTGGGTACACTGGGACACTTCCTTCTCTGTATTTGTGGACTCCAAGGTGAAATCTTCGAGGTCATAAGTGTCCGACGCAAGTAGCTCAGTGTTTCCACACTGTTTAGGCTATCTTCTCAAACATGTTGATGACTCTCTGCGAAACCAGTTAAATGGGCTGGCAAGAGAGAGGCTCTCCAGAATTGACGTGGCAACTCTACCGTGAAGTCAGAACCTCTGACTCTTGGACTTGTGATGTGAATCCTCCGGCCGTAACTCCAAATAAACCATCATGTGTTTGACATCAAAGCTACTGCTCCTACCGTGTCTCCTTCCTGAGTCGGTGACTCCCACTGCATAGCTACACAGAAGTTTCCTCTACACCCAGAAGTAAGCTACTTGTACTCACAAGGCCTATTATGTGCAGAATCCCTCTCACTTTCATGTGGTTTTGATTGAGTGTCCACACGTGGACGTTTAAGGACTAAAAAACGATAAATGTTTCACTTTGCTGTTAGCAAATAATTTAGCGCTCTAGCTAACAGGAGTGTCACAAAGTAATTTAGCCTATGGGTAGGTCAAAAATCGAATGGGTGCTGGCGATTGGCCTAATCGTATCACCTGTGTTGGCTTTATGTTTTTGGTCAAATATTTGTTTGTTTCACATTTGCATTGATGTAATCAATAATTTTTCTAATTTAATAAAAATAATAATAATAATTTTCAAAAAAAAGAAAAAAAACACATATTTCTTGGGGGTGCTTAGGGGGTGCTTTGGCAATCCTGGGGGGTGCTTCAGCACCCCCTAGCTCCCCCCTGGCGCCGCCTCTGCTTAAGATGCCCTCACGAATGGCCCGATGTTGTTACGATCAGAGCTGAATTTGAACATTTCCTTTATCGTGTGTCCATCGGGTTGTTTTATTGCACAACAAAATCATGTAAACAACCCAATTTGTGTTCTGTGAAACTAAAAAGGATATAATATATTATTTTGAAGGCGAGTTGACAGAAAGTTGTTGTTGCTATGGAAACAACATGACGGAGAAAACTTAATATCTTCTACATATAAAGACGGATAAAGTAAAGAACAAAGTCTGAAGATATCAGTACAGTATCATAGTACTTTAACATAATTGTTTATGTTACTTTCGTTGCAGTTGTATGTCTTAAATGTAATGTAAATGTTGCCTTCGTGTGTGGTTCGGGGCCATCTTCCTGCGAAATTCACAATTCCATATTCGTGTGTCCATCGGGTGTCAATTTCGGGACAGTGTGACAGGGGCTTTAAAGAACTCCTATCTTTCTATTTTTAGGCATATATTATGGGTCTCAGATATATAAAATATATAAAAAAACATATCTATGATGTGTTTTGCTCACAATACCAAACAGATCATGCATTTTAGACATCCCTCATATCCCTCTATTTCAGCCCTCTTAAAGAAACGCTGATTCTGTACCCCCGTTTTAAGAGATGTGGGTACGGAGGCAAAGAGAGAGGGTTGTATTTTCTGACACTTTGTGAGTTCCCTGACACACCGGGGACACATATTTGTGTATAAAATACATCAAAAAGTGCATTTTGCGTGAAAGAAGACCTTTAAAGCAGTGAGTAGTAGCAGCATTTCAGAATTTCTCTTGGACATGACCCCCCGCATACTGCTTGTAGTTCTCTATAGGCAGACATATAGCTGTCATGGCTTGTTTGTGCCCGCACCGTGTTGCAACAGCCGTATTGAAGCGCAGCAGGAGGACAGAGAGTGTGTGTGACGGTTAAGAAACACTCACTGTCCTGACAGATGGGGTGAGGAGACACAACCATGTGTGTAACTAAACGCCTGAGTCCTCGCCCTGCTGGGCCGTGCCAGGGGAACATTCCTCTACGCTCTGCTCCACTGACCAAGCAGAACTGCAGCACAGTGAAACCATGCCGCGCACACCGCTGTGTACGAGCGTGTGTGTTGCTAAGGGTGTGTGTTTGTCCACTGGGAGCCAGTGAAGTATGACGGCCTGGTCACTCAGACCATGGAGAGTTATGGAGCGAGAGCAGGCCAGCTGTTCAATTTGGCCACATGGGCGGACACAGAAAGTAAAGGCGAATACTGAAGAGAAAGCGTCTCAGTGTAGGACGTGTGCTGTGTGTATTAACCCACCCTTCTATTACTGCTTACCGTGTCCTGACATTGACATATTTCAGCTATCATGAGCCCACATACACACACAGGGTGACAGGGTGGGTTTTCGGCATGCCCTGGCACTCGGAGGAGGATAATGAGATGAGTGCTAATTTCTCAGGTGTCATGGACTGATATGAATAATACAGGCTATTCCATTACCCATCTCCCCCACCGCTGTCACTGTCAAACTTTTTTCGTTCGCCTACAGTGGACAGCGTCAGCGTCACGTCCTCACTCTTAACTCAAATAACCTGCTAGCCAGACTTTGTGGAAAAGGGAGTTGAGGTTGAAAGAAGGAAATAAGCATTTTTCTTTTTAAATCAAGAGGAAACCTTTGATGGGTTTTTGCATGAGGCGTGAACAGGCTCGTCTTCACTCTCTCATGACTCTGCTATAATTCCACTGCTTTTCCAACAGCTGGGGACCTGTAGCGACTGCCTAACACCCAATCCATTTCCAAACAACAACCCTTCCTCGACGGGACACAGAGAAAGATTGATCTTTCCTTTTTATTTCCGCGTGATGATTTATTTACTGTGTACTATTCTTCCACCGCCGCCCTGGTTTGCATGGGGACTCCTGCAGCACAGTGTGGGTGATCCTGAATTATTCACTTCTTTTTTTCAGAGTTTCTCTTTTTTTCTTCATTTTGCAGGGCGAATGTGTGTCTGCCTATAGTCGCCCTTTGTGTCAATGTGGTGTCCGTCCCTCCTCCTCTCTCTCTCCGTGTTATTATTCTCACAAGCTCTGCTATGACTGCATGATGTGAAAGCAGAGAGGAATGACAGCAGCTCATTAGAGCAGGAACGAGCTGGAAATAATCATATTTTTTCCTCCTCTGTCTGAATTGTCTGTATTTTGCTTTCCCCCTGCCCTGAGTCCCTCACATCAACAACAGCGCCTTCATCTGCTCTCTTTGTTTCTCTCTCTGTCCCTCCTCAGATCCCAACGCCATTGGGCAGCACGGCACGGACCATGCCTTGATCGGAGGAGTGGTGGCTGTAGTCGTCTTCGTCACCCTGTGTCTAATCATTGTTCTGGGAAGATACCTGGCCAGGCATAAAGGTAAAACCACAGTGGACCAGAACTCTCAAGGCTCATGGAGCAACAGAAGCATGTCCTACTTGTCCCATTAGACATCAGAGTCCCTCCCCAAATCCCAAGTTACAAGCAACATACCAATGGAGGAAAAATAATGGAGGCTTAAGTCCTACACACAGGATGCATTAAAGGACATGTTTTTGATGCGCACATAGTGTGGTGTCCCTTGTGCATACAAATAACTCACTGGTTTATCATCCATTAAACGTGAAACAGTCATGTTATATTTGGGAGAGTAATAGGGCTATAAAAATGTATAACTGTTAACCCTTGCTCGTGATTGTTGTCAAAATGTGCACTCAGTCATAACTCTGACCTTAACACATTTAACACCTAGTTCAGTAAGACTTACAATGTCATAGGATATCATTATCTCTTTCGAAATTATGGCAAATCGTGCTTCTTATAACTCCAACAAATGAATTGTAAATATGTGACTGTACTAAGGCTCCAAATGTCCCATCTGTTTTTATACTACTCATATTATTCTGTAGGTTAAAAACTAAAATCTTAATTGCATAAAATAGTTTTCCATTTTCATAAAAACTGTACAAACATGTATTAAACAACTCACATGCAAAGTGATGTCTTTCTTTAATTACAATTGAATAAAACAATATATTTAATGTCTGGGTAATACATGTAGTAACTCTGCCAGAAAGGAAGTAGCAACAGCAAAAAATGCTGGGTTAAAAAGTAATGGTCAGTTTCCAACGCTGATGCTACTAAGTTGAGTCGTGTTTTATATAATTTATATGTCCGACTTTCAGCCTTAACTTCCATCATTCATAAATAATAAAGAATGCAAGGTTGTACTCTCAAAAGCTCAGCTGTATTTGCATTTCCTATACCCTAGCCTCTCATATTTCTTGGATGAATTATATAGCCGTTTGCTGATATTATTGATGTTGTCTTCATATGTGTTTTTTCGCCCCGGGCAGCAGACACCATGCCGGGCTGCTCAGTATTTGTTTTTCCTTGATGTAGGTTTGTTTTTCGTTTTCTCAGGAACTTACTTGACGAACGAGGCCAAAGGAGCGGACGATGCGCCCGACGCCGACACAGCCATCATCAACGCCGAGGGCAACCATGCTCACGCAGAAGAAAAGAAAGAATACTTCATTTAGACTGCAGGGGGAGCTGCTGCCTCTTTCCCTTAAGCCCTCTTTCAATCTCTGTATCTCTTTTTCTCTCTCTTCTTCTCCACGTCTGACAACTGCCGCCGCCGTATCAACAAGAAACCCGCAGGCAGTCCACAGACAAGAGAAGTTCCCTAAGTGTTTTCCTATCATTGCCTTTTGTCTATCATTTACATCGTGTCCTTTATTTCTTTATTGCTTTCTTCTTTTCTTTGGCAGCCGGTTTTCACAGGCAGCTTGCAGTCGCTGCCGAAATTATCCCGTTCTCATATTGTTCCTCACCTTTGGCGTGAATGCCTGGAAGTCTGTATATCTACCATGACTGCTTTCTTACATGAGCCCTTCTTCATCTTCTCTGCTGTTTCCCCTCTAAGCAGACACACAAACACACACTATATCCCCTTTGTTCACACACACGTCCACAAACACATGATCATATGTCACATCAACACGGTGCCTAAAAATACAGACGCCATTGAACTTCTGTCAATGCCTTCATGTATCGTCTGTCAGTAGCAATGTAAATGCTTTGTAGATGGGTTAACTGGACCGTCATTTCATTGCTTAGCTCACAGCTTCTTTGATTATGCATTGTGTCTTTTTTTATTTTACTAAAGATCTTTGCTGTTTACGCCTTATACATGTCTATCACACTGAATATGGTACGTTTAGATCCACCTCCCCCGACCCCATCCCCCTCTAAATAGACTTGTAATTAAACAGTTGACCCTTGTAAGATAAGAAGAAGGTTTTGTGTAACACTGTAGCAAGCTTTGTCAGATAAGTGTATCATATCATTTTCATTATTAGGGTAGGGGTTATAAGGGTAGTGTTGTATTGTTGAGAGCAGAGAATAAACACAAATGCTACATGAAGCATTCCATTAATTAAACTCAATCAAGTGTATAAAACCATTTGCTAAATCTGCTGTCCCTATGTACTTTTCTCTGTATATTCCTGCACTGTCCAGGCTGCAGTTTAGCGGCACACCAACACCTTCAAGGTCCTCTTGACAGCTTACAGTAGTTTGTGATTCATATAAAGGGTTCAGGTGTACAGAAGGAATACATCTCCTCTCTCTAAAAGCTGTATAAATTGTATTGAAATGAGTTTAGCTTTTCACTTTGAATGATTTGGTTTGTGTTTATGTCACCATTTATTCATTTTAATACTTAAGGACCCCGTGAAATGTAAGATGAACCATGAGAAGTTAATAAAATAAGTTAGGAGGAAATGCGTTTTGTAGTGTTACATCAGTTTTCTTCCCCCCTGTTAATAATGTATTTATCATGGTTACCTCTTTTAAGCTTGAGGTACAGACAGCTTTCAACAAGGTTTTCTACACACATTCCTGTGTTGGCTCAAAAATAAGCCTCGATATTATTTTATACAAATAGTGATAACCTCAGTTTGACTTAAACCATATTTTCTGTATTTGTATCTCAATTGAACTATTTAGTTCAACTGTATATATCACCAACATGGCAGAAACTCTCCCCATTATACTGCATAACTGCTCTTCTTGTTTCCATGTTGTTGGAGTCACTCTCCATGACCTGCGCTTCGATTTCCATTTCATGGGGTCTTCAAGCAAAAAAAGAGGAGAAAAAAAGAAAATAGTGTGTGAGTGCTGGGTCATAGATCTGCAGGGGGCTCCTTTCCAAAAACTAAAAACTGAAGATAAATAGAGAAGCACAAAATGTCTGAATGAGAAACTGTGTTCCCTTGCTAACAACTGGATTGCCTTGGGAATGTTTCTTCTGTTCAAATGGGCAGTGGAGAGATGCTGAGGCTGTCTTTGATTCAATTCTGGAGAAAGATGAATCAGTGCATTTTTTTGAAACTGTAAGGTAAATCATGTTTTTATATAAAAAAAGGAAATGTTTTTAATATTTTTGTTTTAAATGGTTCTAAGCTCCCTGCTGTGTATTGTGAACGCTAAAATGTGGTTGATTGTGAAAATTGCTGTTAAATTCTGGATTCCTTCAAATTTGTATATTAGCCACCCTATCTATTTACTTTTCTTTTCATTTTTATCAGTGCATAATACTTATTGGAACAATTTTAAACAAATGTATTTTGTTTTGGCACAAGGCATGTATATAATGTGTGAAAACTAAACTTTGGTTATACACATTAGCATGTTTTTGTTTGGTTCTTTTATCATATTTAATTTATTTAAACTGAAGTTATTTGAGAGAGAACCGCAATGAAAGTATGTTTGTAACTTCATTTTGGAGAGTCGTGGCTTCTTGTGATTGTGGTGCTAAAATTCGAAAGGATTTGATGTTGTAAAAAATGTGGTTAGCAAAAATGTCAAAGCTGAACAGAAATGAAGAAATGGCCCAACTGCCGTCTCCAAATCCCTAAAGTTCAAATTAGAGTTGAAACGCTTTCAAAGAAACGTTACCTTCAAGCTGGAGGCTGAAAAAGTTTCCCACACAAACGAAACATATCCTTGGAGACAACTTCTGTTTCTTTTCATATATCCCTGCCAGTCGTCTTTCATCAGATTGAACACATTTGGCTGATTTAGTTTCCCATGAAAGACGGATAAACACTGTGGCCTCTGGAACTGAAACTTAAACGCAAGGCACTCATCTACTAAAAGGGAGCAAATTATTACCAAGGGCAATAAAATACTGGGCCCAGCTGTCTCCAATTCGATGGCCAATTTACAACATTATGCAAATAAGGTCAGCAAGTAAGGTCTTTCTCTATGTGTAGGACTCGAGCTGCTGGAGTGAATCACAAGTTGGGAATCATTAAACATGTCACCACTGATGTAGAATTTAGGTTGCATATTACATTTTAATGATTTGATTTTAATGATTTGTTATTTAAAAATGCAAAATCTTAGCCACAGTTGCCACATTGAATCATTTCAGTGCACTTGAATCAATATTGAACTATTTACAGGTTTGACTTCAGCCTCACCACATTATCCTTCTGCACTAAAGCGTTCTTAAAAACCTTCTGTATCACATGTGTGTATAGGTACATTTATCACAATAGTGTTATGTCTTTTTTTTACTTTTTTATCTCTTGTTCTTTTCATTGTGTCTTAAATCAATGACGGTGTCAATCAAATGTTCTGTTGTTTCATCCATCTTAGAAATAAGAGAGTGGTTGAATGGATTTGTTGATTCTGAAGTCAGATGAACAGGCTGTTTTATATGAAATGAACACTCACAAATAACCGGGTCTGACGTGACGAGTTGGTGTTTAGAACTGAAACAGGTGCCATTTACTGAATTATGCACTCTGACTCATTTGATGGATATTTCTTAGTAATTGGTGAAATGTGTCTGTTTTTTCCTTTCTGAAAACCACATGTAAATATTTGTTTTGAGGTGAAAGTAATGCGCTGATTAGTTTCAAATCACTTTTCATGATAGTTAGACAGAACCTGAATCTTTTTTTAATTTGTTATTCTAGCAGCCTGGCACATACCATCATGCACTATTTTAAACTAGCTGTGTTACATCTTTTGGTTGGTCATTAGTCCAATACATTTTTTTGTTGTCGGTTGAAACTAAGCTTTAAACTTTTTGCCTCCTTGCTTTCCAACATACTGTATATGCGTTTGGTTAATGTCCGGCAAATGATGGGCCTCTAATTTCATCCTGGCGGCATACAGTTATAGCGCTAATCGCGGTGCAATGTTCTTCAGGCACTGAAGTAGCACTATGGAGCACTAATTATAGACTGGCTTCTGTTTGGTTAAATTTCCCAGCTCCAAACGAAGCCACTTTGTTTGTCTGAAGGTGGGAGTGGTGCAGCTGAGATGACTTGTTAATGCAGATCAGGAAGTGCAATACTGGCAGTCATTTCGGCATGAAATTGCACACAGTTTCGTGAACAATTTTCACGTGAGTGGTTGCACAAAAAAAGACCTGTACACAATCATGAAAATATCTCTCATGTAGGCTGAATTGTAGTCATATGTGTGTGTTCCACCTGTGTAGGGCAACACTGTTAACAGTAATGCTAGCAATATATTAAGCTACAAGTTACTGTCGATGGGGACTAAGTTCAGTTATAATTCAAATAACATTATATCAGAGGGTTTCAGTGTATCCTGAAACTTACATTTTACATTGAAAAGGAACATCAGAACATCCTTGGCTGCATATTTCGGGAGCTGTTTTATTGTGCCTTGCACCTCCAATTTGTTATTCTGCCCTCCTCCTGCCTGTCTGCTTCTTTTAATGAGGGATGAGACGAGCTGATGTGATTGGTTATTATTGAAGCTTGTCCAAACTCCACCTACTGATACTGCATGATGTATTCATCCTGCTACATCCTTTACACACACTGCACTGCCCCAGAAGAGCCTCTCTGGTCACAAAGTGCTGCAGTCAGTTGGGGCAGACACACACGTGAATTCTCGTCTAAGTTAGCGCAAGCAATTGTCTCCAGTTTCGGGAAATTAGAGGCCCATATCAAGTAAAATAACCACTTTGGATCCCTCACCTAAAAGGGATGTATAAGAAAGGAATGGCCACTTTGAGTCATAATCTGTCTGAAATACTGTACTGGTTGAAATCTTGTTTTAAATAATGGTTTTGATGGTCTTGGTCTCCACAGAAGTGTTGATAGCATGGCATGTTTCGGTCCAGCGCTATCGCTCCTGCTCTGACGCAGTTTGGCTTCAGCGCACTTCTTTGTCCCTCTGCACTGTTGACACTAAAACCAATCAGCTTAATCTCCATATCATCACAAAGATGACAAAACATGTGACACAATCACGTGTCAAGATTTGATTTTATTATATCTCTTTTTCTTTTTTTTTGCATCTCAGGAAAATATTTCATTTAGAGAGATTATTTTTGAGTTGTTTGTTTTCTGTCTTAAAATGGGGACTTGTGAGCACTGATCACTCTGCTCGTCCCTGAATGCCGACACCATGTATTTGTTGAGTTTAAGATTATCGCAATGTTAATAAAACTATTCAGTGATTCTTCAGTAATTGTCATCTTGCTATCATTGGGATATTAGACTTAAGAGACATTGTTTTATATGATCACTGACTTGAAATACTGACATTTAGAAATATGCTGCAAATAATCACGAGTTTTCAAGAATGATAGAAGTTGTGTTGATACGCAATGTTACCTGAATTTAGCTTATGCTATGTAAGCAGTTCAATGCTTTTGCTCTATTTCATAATGTTTCCTTGTAGCAACACGCATCTTTCTGTATATCAGTACTTAGATGAAACAAGTTGTAACGCACTATCACTCACAAAATACAAAATATCCACAGTAGAGATCAGGATTCGAGTTAGACACATGTACCTTGGCGAACTAATGGGTTTCTTATCAAGCTGTACTGAGGGCTTGATTTGATATTTAGCACCGTAATGAAGGTGTTTTTTCCCCATTGTCTGTGGGATTTATTATATTTAATTTAGAGGTTCGTTCTCATGTATGAAATGAAAATTGTTGAATAAATAGTTGCCAAAACATCTGTATAAGTCTATTCTTTTAATCCTCTTTTTCTTTCGAATGGAGAGAGAAGCTCTGATGTGTTTTGAAAGCTTATGAATCGCTCTCATGCACAGACATCCGCTCACAAAACACAAGCAACTCCATGCACCGACACATGTTCATGATTTTATATCAACAAGAATAATTCATCTTGTATTTTAGCCTCCCCATCTGCATGCTGTGGTGGTGTTATTCTGTTCAGTTTGTGGAGTCTTTCTACCGACAGAGCACTACTTCTCCATTTTAATTTACAAGGCTGTATTACTCAGCTCTACCTTTGATATACATTATAAATTATTGACAACAAATTCCAGTCAATCAGGAACGGATATTGTATGAAAAGTACTTTTTTTTTAGGCATTCATCCTACTTTGGAAGGTGCAAATCTCATTTCGGCAAACATTTCAGGGCTTTGTGGACTTAATCCATGACAAACTGGAGTTGAGACCAGGAGGCGGAGTCGCAGTCTTACACGCCTCTCTGCGCTCTCTCCTAGGCAGTCATCCATAGGAATCCCGAACCCAATAAAATACCCAATATTAACGGTGTGTGTGTCTGCCCAAGGACAAGTTAAGGTAAAACCTAATAGAGGTGTCATACATAATAACCTAATAAAAGTAAATGTAACAACTACTACAGTGCAACAAAACAGGAAGATTAAATGTGGTCTCTTAAACATAAGATCTCTAGCATCTAAAGCAATATTGGTAAATGATTTAATATCAGATTATAATATTGATATATGCTGTCTCACTGAAACTTGGTTGAGACATGAAGAATATGTCAGCATAAATGAGGCCACTCCACCCAGCCATATCAATACTCATATTGCCCGAGGCACGGGCCGAGGAGGTGGAGTTGCAGCAATCTTTGACTCAAGTTTACTTATCAATACTAAACCAAAATTAAATTATACCTCCTTTGAAAGTCTCGTTTTTAGTCTTACGCATCCGACCTGGAAAACTTTGCAGCCAATCGTATTTGTTACAGTGTACCGTGCACCAGGTCCTTATTCAGAATTCTTATCTGAATTCTCTGAGTTTTTATCAACTTTGGTTCTTAAAACAGATAAAGTAATTATCGTAGGTGACTTTAATATTCATGTTGACGATGATAAAAATAGCCTTACTGTTGCATTTAACTCTATATTAGATTCTGTTGGTTTTTGTCAGAGTGTAAATAAACCAACCCACTGCTATAATCACACTCTCGACCTTGTTCTGACTTATGGTATTGAAATTGAGCAACTATTAGTCGAACCGCATAATCCTGCTTTATCCGACCATTTCTTAGTAACTTTTGAAGTACTGTTACGAGACTACAAAGCATTAGTCAAAAGCTCCTGCAGCAGAAACCTATCTGTTAGTGCTATAGCCAAATTTAAGGAAGAGATTCCACCAATACTTAACTCGATAGCATGTCTGCATGTAGGGGAGGAAACTTATACAAAATGTACACCACCCCAAATTGTTCATGTTGTTGATAGTGCTACAGATGCGCTGCGAATAAAATTAGACTCTGTTGCTCCTTTGAAAAAGAAGAAAATAAAACAACATAGATTAGCTCCATGACATAATGCCGAAACCCGCAAAATAAAGCAAAAGTCGAGACAACTTGAAAGGATATGGCGTTCCACTAAACTTGAAGAATCTCGTTTAATTTGGCATATTACTCTCAATGAATATAAGAAAGCACTGCGTAAAGCGAGAGCAGCCTACTACTCTTCATTAATAGATGAGAATAAGCATAATGCAAGATTTCTTTTCAGCACTGTAGCCAGGCTGTAGCCTTCTATTCCCATAGCACTCAGTAGTAATGATTTTATGTGCTTTTTTAACGATAAAATTGTTACTCTTAGAAACAAAATTAATGACCTCTTGCCTTTGACCAGTATAGTGTTATCAACGGCTCCGGAAGCGTGAGTTCTAATATTACACTAGATAGTAAACTAGAATGCTTTTCAGCCATAAACCTTGAACAATTAAATTCAATGATTCTCTCTTCTAAACCATCAACGTGTATGTTAGACCCAATTCCAACTAAGCTGTTGAAGGAAGTTTTTCCATTAATTAGCACTTCTTTATTAAATATTATGAATATGTCTTTATTATCAGGCTATGTTCCACAATCATTCAAAGTAGCAGTGATAAAACCGCTTCTTAAAAAGCACAACCTCGATCCAGAGGTTTTAGCCAATTATAGACCTATTTCCAATCTTCCGTTCCTCTCAAAAATTCTTGAGAAAGCAGTCGCAAAACAGCTGTGTGATTACTTAAAAAACAATGATTTATTTGAAGATGTTCAGTCTGGCTTTAGAACACATCATAGCACAGAGACAGCTCTGGTTAAAGTCACAAATGACATTCTAATAGCCTCTGACAAGGGACTTGTCTCTATTCTTGTTTTGCTCGATCTCAGTGCTGCATTTGATACTATCGACCATGATATCTTATTGCAAAGACTAGAGCACTTAGTTGGCATACAGGGAACTGCTTTAGGCTGGTTTAGGTCCTATCTATCTGAACGCTCTCAATTTGTACGTGTCAATGATTAATCTTCCACGCAAACCAAAGTTAGCCATGGAGTGCCACAGGGCTCAGTGCTCGGACCTATTTTGTTCACATTATATATGCTTCCGTTAGGCAATATTATAAGGAATCATTCTGTAAACTATATTTATCAATCAAGCCTGATGAAATTAATCATCTAAATAAAATTCAAGACTGCCTCAAGGACTTAAAAACGTGGATGACCTTAAACTTTTTGATGTTAAACACGACCAAAAAAGTGATTGTACTTGGCCGGAAGAATCTACGAAACAAATTATCTAAAGATATACTAACTATGGATGGCATTAATTTGGCCTCCAGTGAGACTGTAAGGAATCTTGGTGTTATATTTGATCAGGATTTAACCTTTAACGCCCACATAAAATCAATTTCAAGGACCGCCTACTTCCATCAACGTAACATTGCAAAAATCAGGCATATCTTGCCTCAAAACGATGCAGAGAAACTAGTCCATGCATTTGTTACTTCAAGGCTGGATTATTGTAACTCTTTATTATCAGGGTGTACCAAGAAGTCAGTCAAGTCGCTTCAGCTGATTCAAAATGCTGCAGCTCGTGTACTAACCAGAGTTAGGAAAAGGGACCACATGACTCCTGTTCTGGCTGCCTTACACTGGCTCCCTATAGAACACAGGATAGAATTTAAAATTCTTCTTCTCACCTACAAAGCCCTTAATGGGCAGGCGCCATCTTACCTTAAAGAACTCATTATACCCTACTGTCCTACTAGGGCATTGCGTTCCAAGAATGCAGGGTTGTTGGTTGTTCCTAGAGTCTCTAAAAGTACAATGGGAGCCAGAGCCTTTTCTTATCAAGCTCCACATTTGTGGAATCAGCTTCCAGTTTGTGTTCGGGCGGGAGACATCCTATCCGTTTTTAAGAGTGCGCTTAAGACCTTCCTTTTTGATAAAGCTTATAGTTAGGGCTGATTAGATTCAGCCCCTAGTTTTGCTGATATAGGCTTAGTTTGTCGGGGGACATCTTACTTCTTCCTTCTCTCTGTCTATACCTGTGTACTCTCATGTTCCGATTAACCCAGCTTCCCCAAATGTCTTTCTTTTTGGTGTCTATATACGCCGGGATCCGGAGTCATGGATGATCCTGCGCTCCTGTGTCCTGCATCGCGAGCCCTGGATCTTGAGTCGTGGCTGTGGTCCTGGATCATAGGTCCTGGATGGATATCCTCGTGGATTCATCTTCCTATTATACACACAAGCATTTCCAAACATTTGGACTACCTATGTTGCAAATGTATTATCTTTTCAATTTACACATGGCATCTATTGCACGTCTGTCCGTCCTGGGAGAGGGATCCCTCCTCTGTTGCTCTCCCTGAGGTTTCTCCCATTTTTCCCTTTAAAACTGTGGGTTTTCTTCGGAAGTTTTTCTTTGTACGATGTGAGGGTCTAAGGACAGAGGGGTGTCGTATTGTCATACTGATATTTTTGTACAAATTGTGAAGTCCACTGAGACAAATGTAACATTTGTGATATTGGGCTATATAAATAAACATTGATTGATTGATTTTTGTAAATAGGGAAAAACTGTGATTTATTTGGATAGAAATCCCTCATTCATATCCACAATGATTTACTTAACCCAATCCTAAACACAACATACGTATACTCAAATGTAAGCCACGGTGCTATGGTATATTGTAAGTGTTAATATCTCCCTTAAAATTTCAAAATGAATCACAGTTCATCTCTTAAACTGAAGCCCATCGTATTATGTTGCAATACAATAATCTTCACCTTGCTGTAAAATGAAATCCCCTTTCTTATTTAAAACTGCCTTTATTTTCTTGGCATAGATTCAACAAGGTGCTGGAGACATTTCTCAGATATTTTGGTCTGCATTGAAATGATAGCGTCATTCATTTGTTGCAGATTTTCGGGCTTCACATCCATGTTAAGAATCTCCCCTTCCTCCAAACCCCAAAGATGCTCTGTCTATTGGATTGAGATCTGGTGAATGTTGTGGCCATTTGAGTACATGTTCAAGAAACCACTTTGAGAAGATTTCGACATGGCGTATTATTATCCTGCTGATAGTAGCCGTTAGAAGATGGGTACACTGAGGTCATAAAGGGATGGACATGGTCAGCACAATACATGGCGTTAAAACAATTCTCAATTGTTTCTAAAAGGCCCAAAGTGTGTCAAAAATAAATCTCTCCAACACAAATACACCAATACCCGTAGCCTTAACTGTTGACATTTCAGGATGGATGCTTTTACATGCTTTTATGTTGTTTACGGCAAATTCTAACCCATTTATCTGAATGTTGCAGCAGAATTGGAGTTTCATCAGAACAGGCAACGCTTGTCCAATCTTCTTGTCCAATTTTGGAGATTCAGGCCGCACCAACATGTGGTATTCTGCTGCTGTAGTAGCCAATCTGATT